CTTTTTATTATTTGTAAAAATTATAAATTTAGTAATATGGTTTATTTTAAATATAAAATCAAAATTTATAATTATGTTCTTAATAAAAAAAAAAATTTTAAACCTTCTTACTGTTTTAAAAAAGTTAAGGTTGCCGCGTGGCAAGTTCAAATCACCAGCTTTTTTTTTTTTAATCTTTTTTTATTTAAAATGCAAAATAAAACATCTTTCTTTGTTTCAAAACAAACTTTTTTCTTCAAAAGCGTTTTACTTCGTATTTTAAAAAAGTCGAAAAAAATTAAATTATAAATCAAAAAAAAAAGCCAGTAAAAAGGAATCAAACCTGGGCTTTCTGCATTAGGAACCCTGCGTGCTAAACACTAAGCCATGCAGACATATTTTGTATAGAAAATTTTAAAACAAGAAACAACAGACTTAGGGAGATAAAAATTTTAATGCAATTTTCAAGTGAAGTAAAACTATAAAACTCGATATATGTTTTGGTGTGTTTTTAACATTACTTAATTTGAAGTTTGCGTAAGTTAGATAATGAGTTTGAAATATCCTCGGATGAACTTCGAACAGCCTTAAATTTACTAAAAACCTACAAGAGTCTAGAAATCGACAAAATCAATGGAAGTGTTTTGAAATCAGTATTTGATATTATTGAATCGCCTTTTTTAACATTATTCAGCTTATATTTAAAAACTGGTGTTTTTCCTGATAAATTAAAAATAGCGAAAGTAGTCCCTATTTATAAAAATGGCGACGACTCTTTAGCATCCAACTATAGGCCTATATCAATACTTTCTTGCTTTTCAAAGCTTCTTGAACGTTTTATGTACAATAGATTATATAACTATCTTGAAACAAATAATATTCTGTATAACAAGCAATTTGGTTTTGGCAAGAGTCATTCAATATATCATGCAATAATTGAATTAGTCAATAGAATTTTGAATGGTTTCGAAAATAATGAATATACTCTAGCCTTGTTTATCGATTTAACCAAAACATTCGATACAGTTGACCACGAGATCCTCCTACACACACTAGAGATGTATGGAGTTACAAACAACATTCTAAGATGGTTCAGAAATTACTTAAATAATAGGAAACAAGAAGTGTCGTACAACACAGCATGTTTACGGTTGCAAACAATTAGTTGTGGTGTACTCCAAGACTCTTTTCTTAGGCCTTTACTATTTTTAATCAATGTGAACGATATTTACTTAAATTCAAACATTCTAAATTTTACTCTTTTTGCAGATGATGCAAATATTATGTTTACTCACTTAAATATAAAAACAATTTTCTACAGTTAATCAAGAGCTGCAAAACTTAAAAGAGTAATTTAAAGTTTAATAAACTTTCCTTAAACATCCTCAAAATCAAATATGTTTTATTTCACAAATCATCTAACTCTTATTGCAAATCATCTAACTCTTATACGACTGCAGTCTTCTACTTGCTCCTGTCATTATTTTATTTTTTATCTAATTTATAAATGTATACATAAACTAATTAATTGTAAGTTAATTGTAAGTAAAATATATAGTGACGAAATAAATTTAAAAAAAAAAGGAAAAAAAGATATTTGCATACATTTTTGTTGACTTTTCTTATAAAAAAAATGCTGCTATCTTTTCTCAACGGAAGCGTATCTACAACGGGGTTTTAAGACTAAACGTCATTTTTTTTTTTACTACGCATGCCCAGTTACGATAATTCCCTAGTCCTCATGCCGTTCTGAACTAGTTTAATACGAGAAAAAGCCATTTTACAGTTGTGTCAAAAACGTGAGTTTTTGCGTTGAAATGGAAAAAAGAGTTGATGTTATCGAAATCAGTAGAAAAAGGTGATATATATTTTTCTATGATTTATTTTAAGAATAAAAAAATTTCTTGTATTTATAACAAGAGTAGAACTAATAATTTACGTTTGTTATTGAGTTCTTTTTAAAACCCTGCCATTAAAACAAAAGTTTAATGGTAAACTTTTCTAAACTTTAAACTTAGCTTTAACAACGTTATGAAAATGTTTTAAACGAAAACATCATCAACAGTTAGTTAAAAAATTGCAAATAATCTTTGTTCTAGCTCTAATGATGATATATATTTTAAAGTAGACGCTTGTGCATGAAATTATTAGCAATTACGAAAGTGGAATGTCACAAAAAAGTATTTGTGATAAATATCGCGTGAAAAAATGGACCGTATCAAGACTATGTTCCAAATATCGTTCTACGGGGAAGTTGGCAGCAGATAACAAAAGTAGAAGACCGCGTTCCACCACTTCTAGAGGGAACTCTATGATCATCAGATCTGTCAAGAAGGATCCCTGGATATCATTAGTCGATATATAAAAGCAGTTAGAGCTGCCTGTATCGGACCGAACAATTAGACGACGTGCTGTTGAAGCCGGATTGTTTTCTCGACGCCCTGCAAAAAAACCGCTAATTTCACTAAAGAACCAGAAGAATAGACTCCTGCTCGCTACATCTCATATTGACTGGAATAAATCTAAGTTCAACATCATTGGGAGTGATGGCATTTGCCGCGTACGTCGACCGGCCGAAAAAAGCCTCTTTTTACGTTACTGCCACAAGACCGTGAAGCATGGTGGAGGCAATGTAATGGCCTGGGGGTGTTCTTCTGCTAACGGTCTAGGTCCAATACATCGAATTAATGGAATAATGGACCGTTTCATGTATAAAAATATCCTGAAAGATGTTGAGTTATGCTGAATAGAACAATCCAATAAAATGGGTCCGAAACACCAAGCAAAAGTAGTCAAGCAGTGGTAGTCAAGACAACCACCTATCGGTGATAGATTGGCCGCCTCAATCTCCGGATCTCAACCCTATCGAGAACCTGTGGGAAATCGTCAACCTCAGAATTAATTGTGACGGTATTCGTAATAAGGATCAACTGTTTGAACAAATCCAAAAGGCCTGAGCAGCAATTCCACAAAGTTTCATTGATCACTTGATCGAATTTATGCCTCGGAGATGCAAGGTTGTGATCGAAAACAAAGGATTTGTCACAAAATATTGATAGCGAGATACAGCTTGGTCAACATTATGTGAAGTTGCACTTGTTTTGTCCAGAAGGAAATCAACTTTTTTTAAATACTTTTGATTATTTTATTAATTTTCGTGCACAAATATTGAACTGTGTGATGAATAAAACTTAAAGAACGTTGTTTCTAAACAGTTACATAGTTATTTCTCTAAATTGAAAAAATGCAGCACTTTTATATAAAGAAACTAAATTAGCATTATTTGGTTGCATTATTTGCACTTGTTTTGTCCGATACTGTAGTTGCTAACACCTGAAAATATATAATAATCATTAAAAAAAATAGTCTTCTAACAATGGGGGTTCAACCTCAAGATAATTGTATGTGTTTGATTTGTGAAGACAAGTGTGTGCATTGGTTAATTATGGACAAACTTGATACTTTTTCCCAACTGCACTTAATTATACTTTCAATTTTTTTTTTGAAATCTAGGAATGCAAAATAGTTCATAATTTCTCTAAAAACCTATTCCACAGAAAATCTTACTTTACTCATAGCCTTGCTAAATTCCTTTTGTTCTGGATTTAATGCATAACGATTACTGTAAGGGGTTTGAAGATGAGTTCTTAGTGGATAAGCTAGATCTCCGTAAATATATAAAGGATCTCAGTTTGGTTTTACACTATTTTGAAGTAATAAGTTATACAGATTTGACAAGACAAACATTGAGCTATCGTGTCTATAACCTTCTACTGGCCCAAATAGATTTGCTATTAGTCCGTTTGGTGCCACAACTTATTAAAACTTAATTGAATGAACTCGCTTGTGCCCGTTATACAATACTTGTTGGTCTTGTCAAGGTCTGCATACAGGTCTAACTGTCCCACCAACAAATTCCCATCAAAAATCAAGTGGAGCCCTTTTATTATGTATTGCTGTAGCATATCGATCCAGTTAATTAAGTTAATATTAGTTATTACTCTTAATATATTATTTAAATATTAGTTAAAACTCTTGAGCAATATTAGTTAAAACTCTTGAGCAAGTGGTGGTGATTTGAAAATATTTTATTCATGACTACGTTTGACATTATACATAACTCGGGAACTGGTCTACCAAAACGAGGAATTAAGTCCAAATAGCGTAAAGGGTAAGCAAATTGCTTTAGAAAAACATAGAAGGATTCTATGCCATTAAAAATATTTAAAATTAAAAATATTTCCTCAGGTATGAGGAAACTTCTGTACTTCTGCAATACCAAACTTAAGTACTTCTGCAATACCATTTGACATTTTTATAAAATCT